GCTAAAACTTTGACATAAACAGCTCCTCAGAATCACAGAGTGATAGGTTTTTGAGCATCATGTTAGGTTGATGGACAACCAACCCAGAGCAGAACATCTCTGGATATTCAAGAACTAAAGGTTATCCATGCAGGACAATGACCTAGGCAGTGTGGGAGACCCATTCTCAAATGCCCTCCCCAAAAGATAGGTCCTCATGTGATTCTCTATTTTCTATATCTTGAGAAGAATTTGTAAGAAATAAGATGTTTTAACTCTTTCTTTTGTTTCTCTTTTAAAAAGCTTTTCACAAATGCCAACCAGTTCTGGAAAAGATGAGACCAATGATAACATCACAATATTTACGAGGATCTTGGATGGACTCTTGGATGGCTACGACAACAGACTCCGGCCCGGGCTGGGAGGTGAGTGTGCTCTCCTCAGCTGAGGCCAGCGAGGACCCAGGGAAAGCTTAAGCACCATCTCAAGCTTGTGTGTGCTGTGACCCAAGCAATTCCTAAAACAGCTTCCCTGCCAGGATTTTGAGTTGATGGTTGCTCTACCCTTGCCAAGGATCCTGCCTCCTTTGCTACCGTTTTTCTAGATGCAAGAAGCTGAGGGACGCATCCCTGCAAACTCCCTTCTTCCCAGATAATCTTAACCTCCATTCTGGTTCTCTTAAGGAGGAACTCTTAAGAATTCCTTAAGAGGAAGCTGAAATAATATATAAGCAACCTCATACTCTCATACCTACACAAGTCCTTTTCAGAAATCCAATGAATGCCATTGTTCTTCACATCTTTATAGGTTATTATGTTTAATTTTTCACTGTGGCAAAAGTCATAGTATTTACTTTGACTCTACATGAGTTGATAGAAAATAACTGATAGTAAACTGTGCTTTCAGGGCACAACAGACATGGCTTAATTTTATGCTGAGAATTGTGTGCAGTTTCTAGGCACGTGTAACGCCCATGGCTGTAACCAGTTTAGATGTGGTGAGTTTGAACTTGCTGTATTAGGTGAGGTAGAAACCTTCCATCAAACACATTCTTGGAGGAAAAAGTTTAGTTCTTGTCCAGTATTTGCATTTTCAACAGGTAGATTCACTTAAAGCATTAATTGCCATTCCTCTGCCTTGTGGACAAGAAGAGTCCACACAGGCTTCTTGACAGCATCTTCTTCTCTCTGAATTATGTCCCCAGGCTTCTGTGTCTAGCAGCCTAGTCCCAACACCCAGAAGGATCAAAGCACCTAGAAATCCACTGAGCTGCTGTCAATTCTTGTGGCATCCTCTCATCGTCCTGCCTTCAGTCCTGCAGGGTGGGAGGACAGCACAGAGGGCCTAAGGGGTGCCCTGCTGGAGCTGGCATCTCAGTGGGGAGATGGGTACAGTACATCATGCAATACCCAACATCACACGAACACTGGCCATGAACAAATACAGACTGTGCAAATAGATGACCATCACACAACGAAGTGCGACCCCAAGGAGCCTCTGAGCCCATGGCGATACTGTGGAGTGGCTTGGGGTTATCTAGTGTGGGCTATAGTGCACTCTGAGTGTGGTTCCTGCTCATGACCACAGGAGGTTTCAGGGCTCAGGGGTGCCTTGGGAACATACAAATTTCCCCCCAATATTATTAGCTGCTTTTATCGTTGTATATATTTCCAAGTAATTTTAAATGAACTAGTAGTCTCCCACAATAGGCATTCTAACAATTCAAAATGCCATATAAGGAGAAGTGGGCTATCCCTGTCTCAGGGCACACTTGTGGGCACTTTCTCTTATGTCCCTTCCCTGGAGACCACCCAGTGTCTCCAGTTTTGATGGGAAATTCCTCTGAGTCAGCAATCTTCATCCCAAATTGTCCAACCCTTTTTAAAGCCACTGTGTATGGGGAGGGCAGGGTTGTGCACTGCCAGGCTGGCATTTTGCTCTGGGTTTAGAGAGGAGGAGACTGAAGCTCAGGTGTTTGTGAACCCACCCAACATCCACAGCCAGGCCTCAGCCCACCTGTATTCAGGACTGCTCCCCAGCGGGCAGAAGTACGATGACAGCCAACCTGCTTTCTTTATATGATGGATATTTTATTTCATGTTATAGTTTGGAGCGTTTTGGCTTCATTTGGTATGTGTCGAGTCCTCCACATTTATCCGACACATTGTAAAAGCCCCCTGCTGCGAAGAGTGAAATCAGTTAATAGACTGAGAACACAAGGGCAGTCAGGACAGCGCAGGGTGAGTCGGTGCGAGCCGAGGAACCTGTGTCTGTGTTTCAGAGCGAATCACTCAGGTGAGGACGGACATCTACGTCACCAGCTTCGGCCCAGTGTCCGACACGGAAATGGTAGGTCCCAGGGCACGGCCCCACACAGACAATTCTAAATAAACGCTGAAAGGAGCTGCTAAGGACTCTTTTACTCTGACGCCACCTCCTTGCCTTCCTTTGCATTAGGAGTACACCATAGATGTGTTTTTCCGACAAAGCTGGAAAGACGAAAGGCTTCGGTTTAAGGGGCCCATGCAGCGCCTCCCTCTCAACAACCTTCTTGCCAGCAAGATCTGGACCCCAGACACGTTCTTCCACAACGGGAAGAAGTCCATCGCGCACAACATGACCACGCCCAACAAGCTGCTGCGGCTGGAGGACGACGGCACACTGCTCTACACCATGCGGTGAGCGGGCGCGGGGCTGGGCAGAGGGACAGTGCGGGACAGACACAGCTGCCCGTCCTCTTCCAAGGGCCATGCAGCCGAATTGTTACGAGGATGGGTTTGAGGATTGCGTCGTGTGTGTCTGGGGCATTTTTCACCTTGTGATCCACCCACACTAATACTCAGGTACATTCTGTCCCTTGGCTGCCCTAGGTCCATGTCCGTTTGTTATTTGTATTTATTTATTTGGCTAAAGCTCAAGAGCATCTCTGGAATAGTGACCCAGATAATGTCAGATGGGGAACATTTATTTTATAAAGATTGTATTTAAAAATCTAAGGGGAATCTTTTTTTTGTGTGTGTGTGTGTGTGTGTGTGTGGTTGCAGTTGTGCAACCTTTGGACGTTTTAACAGCCTGTTTCTCACATGCTTTGATAACATTCCAATGCTGAGGTTAATTTTTAGCATTTCTAATTTAAAATGATGATTAGTCATTTTTTAAAATTCTGCATTATTCATTGTCCTTGAGTAAATCAATAAATTGACCAGCAAGAAAGGCTCCTTTATAGGTTTTCAAAGTTTCCATGGTGGGTGCAAGTATGCTTCAGAAAATATTTTTTTTTTTTTTTTGAGACAGAGTCTCACTCTGTTGCCCTGGCTAGAGTGAGTGCCGTGGCATCAGCCTAGCTCACAGCAGCCTCACACTCCTGGCCTCAAGCAATCCTTCTGCCTCAGCCTCCCGAGTAGCTGGGACTACAGGCATGCGCCACCATGCCCGGCTAATTTTTTCTATATATTTTTAGTTGTCCAATTAATTTCTTTCTATTTTTAGTAGAGACGGGGTCTCGCTCTTGCTCAGGCTGGTTTCGAACTCCTGAGCTCAAACAATCCTCCCACCTCGGCCTCCCAGCGTGCTAGGATTACAGGTGTGAGCCACTGCGCCCGGCCTAGAAAATATTTTTTAAATTAAAAAAAAGGCACTAAAGCCAAGTTTTTTTTGTTTTGTTTTTAAAAAAGCCATGCATTTAGGTAGACATTATTGGAATTTCTCTATCTTGTTACTATTTTTCACAATAAGCTTTGTATTTAAAAGAAGTAATCATAGCAGAAAATAACACTGATACTGTCATCTTCAGAGGCTGCGTTTCCTAACATATGTTCTGAGACAGTGGTCCCCAACCTTTTTGGCACCAGGGATGGGTTTCGTGGAAAACAATTTTTCCATAGACTGGGGTGGGGGTGGGAGGCGGAGCTCAGGCCGTGATGCGAGCCGTGGGGAGTGGCTGTAAATACAGATGAAGCTTTGCTCCCTTGCCCGCTCCTCACCTCCTGCTGTGTGGCCCCCCCAGTTCCTCAGTTTCATGGAACACAATTTTTCCACAGATTGGGGTTGGGGTGCGGGGTGGCAGAGCTCTGCAGCCCAGTCCCCAACAACAGGCCACAGACTGGTACTGGTCCATAGTCCGGGGATTGGGGACCACAGTTCTGAGAAACACTTTGACACACTGTGTCCCAGACCTATTTGACAGTAGGACTTGATTTTTCTTGTACCAACCGGGTAAGAAGCTGTGTGATGAGTGAGCCTATAACATACACATCTTGGTATTCTTGCCCTTCCTCATGCTTGGCTTTTCCTTATATCACCTGGAACATGTTTTGCCCATGGATGGAGATGTGAGTTGTGAACGTCAATGTCCTTGGACGGTGCCTTCTCAGGAAAGAGAAGCGTGTTGAAAAGCTGAGAAACGTTGCCAGGGTTGAGAATAAGTCCTTGGTCATCCTCCTGTGGAAACGGAGGGATATGGAGAGAGACCGAGTGCCGTCTCAGCCCTGTGTGCAGGGCTGAGAGCAGGTGTGGAGAGTCGGAGGTGTTGGACCCCCCCACCCAGGGGGTCCACACGGGAGGAATGATTGGATGTGGCTGTTGTGAGGGTGCCTGTGTTCTGTTCATGGAATAAAAATATCCACAGTCCTCGTTGGACTGTTGTCCTTGGTGGTCATCACTGAGAGCCTGTAGCTAAGTCCAAAGCCTGAAAGGTATATTACAAAACATACAGTTCTAATTCTAGAAGACAATGGGATGTTCTCATCCAGTGCATTATTGCCCGAATGGGCTGGGGAGTTAGGCCTATTGTTCAGAAGGGGACGAGGCAGGAGAGGGGCCTCTCACTGAGCTCTGTGTACCAGGCAACTTCACAGACATAGAATCCTTCAGTCCTCAAACAGCCCTGTCAGCCAGGTGACATTGTGACCATTAACAGGACAGTGAGGCTCAGAGGTGTTTGGAAATCAGCCCAGAGTCACACAGCTAGTGAGGGGGCAACAGGAATTTGAGCTTGGGTCTGAGCAATGTCCTTGTTTAATCCACCACGTTTGAAAATTGGAGGGACGCAGCATTATGAGATATAGGCTGGCCTTCTTAGTACCCTCCTCAGAGTGTCGTGCCCAGAAGGAAGCAGGAGAGAAGTGAGAAGCAGAGTAATTAGTGGCTGTTTATGCAGAGGAAGTCAGCTAATGAGTTGCTAAGTTGGTAATGAGTTTTCCTTTTCAGTCATATACAACATTTGGAAAGTGGAAATAGTTCCACTTCCAAGTGTTACGAATTTTAATGGGATAGAGCTATGGCATTATTATAATGCAATAGCATTTCTACCTATTGATTTGTGGAAGATGGTGAAACGGCAGTAAACATTACTGGTGGAAATACAGATCACTCCGTGGACGGTGATCTGGCATCCCCACCCTGTTACCGAGGGCTTCGGTGGCACTGCCTTTCTGATCAGCTCTGGGCCACACCTGTCAAGCCATGTAAAAGCAGTGATATGCTTTTATCTGATAATTCCCACGTGGTATCCGTCTGAAGGAAATAACTAGGTATATGGACAAAGCTTCATACACAGAGGTGTCTATTATATTACTTGTGATACCATAGACATTGGAAAAATATAAAAATTTGATAAATTTTTCAAATAAAATTGTATCTTTAAATTTTTTTTTTACTTTGGACCTAATTTAAAAAAATGAAACACGAAAGCATAAAACAAATTAGGGTTTATATGGTGTCCTTTTAACCTAAGACAAACATCTAGAAATGTTTGAAAAAGTCCAGTTACCATCTTATAAAAAGTAACCCCCTGGACTTAAATAGGATTTTTAAAATTTTTTACCTTTTATTTTTAACTGATACATAATAATTGTACATATGTTTTAGATACAGAGTGCTACTTTGATGCGTGTATACCATGTGTAATGATCAAACCACGGTGATTAGCATACCTGTCACCTCAAACACTCATCATTTCTTTGTGTTGTGAACATTCAAAATCCTCTCTTCCAGCTTTTTGAAAATATACAATAAATCATAGTTAACCATATTGAATAGGATTTTTTGTGGAAAATCCCCTCCATGCTCCAGAAATCCTTTAAATTAGTATTCAAAGATACACACAATTGAGCCAGATGAAATTCTTTACATAAGTGATTCAAAAGAAGCCAAGGGAACCTAAGCCCTGGATGCCATTTGCTCCCAAAATGTCTGGCAAAAAGCCAGAGGCATTTGCCTGGCGCTAAACGACATTGTTGGTTTCAACGAACTGTCTACCCCCAGTGGGTCATTCATTTACTGGGTCTGAAGCTGAAGTTCATCAGTTGCTCAGAATAAAGCACAAAGAGAGTGGCAAACATCTCCCACTGGATCCTCAAGAGCAGGCTTATAAAGTATGATTCCTTTTACGAGCCGTCTCCAGGGCTCTGCTTCCAACATTGGCTAAAAAATACGGGTATTCCTTGAATGGCCACTTGGGGGTAGCATTGTCACATTTTTGCTTGGTCATTGGCCCCATTCAATACCATCTATTTTAGTATAAGTAACTTGAAGAAAATTATTTATGTTATACATGTTTGATTTGTGGCCAATATATTTGAAGGAAATTATACATATATATTTGGAAGTTTTTAACTAGACATTGAGATGTGTTTGTATATATGTACAAGAGCATATATCTATACGTACATATACCGGTGTCTAGTTAAAAACTTCTTCCCTGAAACCAACAGATATATTGGCTGACTCTTGAAATTTTTAAGGTAACATTTTTTATCGAAAATAATCAAAATATGATTTAAAAATTTGTAAAACATGGAAAATCACAAAATATGGAATATGGTTATGATAACATCAAGACCAAAGAGAATCAATGCTAGCATTCTGGTGTGTGTCATATATATGTGTCTGTGTGTGTAGACACACATGAATACATGTGTGTATATCTGTGTTTATATGCACATAGTCTCCTACAGTTTCTGTGTGGTCTCATTCTCTGAAAACTGTTTTATAAGTAGCTTTATAATTTATAATATACAGTATCGAAAATATTTTCCCATGTCATTAAATATTGTTCTGGAACTTTGTGATACATCACATTCCATCATGTGGTTATCCTGTCTTTATATAATTTCTAACAAAAATTCGTGTTATTTCCATTTTTTCCCTCTGTGGTATCATTGTGATGCAAGCACATATATATACCATTTGAATAAATCCCAGGAATTGGACAAAATATAAATCTTTTGATACAAATTTTCAAACTGTTCTCTAGAAAAAAATACAGCAGTTTTATTCCCACCAACGGTGGGAGGAGCAGTTGCCTCTATTACTTGCTTCCTATCACTATATATATGAAAATGAAGTGTCAACCCATTTTGCTCCATAAGATGCAATTAGCAACCAGTCTATTAAAAAGGCATGCGTAACAGTTACTCGTCTCAGGATTTCTAGTGCATCAGCTTTGTTCTTTTCCTTGGGGACATGTCTTACAGAGCTCCCTTGTCCTGACTTAATTTAGAAGGAGCCTCATTCCCGAGGTCGGAGACATGGAGCCCGACTTGCACACTGCTGCTCTCACCTCTGTCTGCTCTGGCTGAGCTCCCCCAGGCACGCACCCGCACCCTCCCTCACTTCCTCAGTCGCTGAAGACCGACTGCCTCCCAGACATCTCCCTGGGAGCCTCCTGCCTTCCACC